TGGATTTTATTAAAGCTCGAGGTTTTCAGCTTTATGCTCTATTTAACATTATTTTCGGTTAGCCGTTAAAGAAGAATGTAATTTGACAGCTGTTTCTTTTAAATCGTTCTCTAGTGAGGTTTAGCGTGCGAACGATGTTGTTTTAGGCTGAATTAAATGAGTTGATTTCAACTTTGTATTATTTATTACACTAAAACTATAATTAAAACAGATACTAAGATGTTTTTACTAGGGTTACCGATGTTTTACGACGAATAAAATTAATTGTATATTATTGCTATTCGTAATAGTCCGAGATGCGTTTTCTTTTCCCCCATTGGTCAAGTAGGTTTCTCCGTAAATGTCACTCGTGCATTCAGAATTGTGGTTTAAAATGTGTTCAAAACTTAGTGAAATAAAATCAAAATTATAAGTGAAATAGATTCTATGAATTTTAACGCTTTTAATATTGATTATTTTTACGAACAGTCGGCCTGAAGATTATAAAGTCCTGATTCTCCACGCGTATTTTTCTTAGCCCAGCAGTGGGATATTTATAGACTCATTTTTTATCTGTATAAATAGAGCAGTCGCTAGAATTTAGCTCCTGGACGCTTTTAGCTAATACAAAGAACTGATTTAAACAAATACATCTGTAATATATTGGGGATAAATATATTAATATAATCTCTATATGTCAAATATAGCGTGAAATTACGAAAGCGTGCAATGGATGGACGTATTACTGGGTTTATGTTCGGTTTATTTTTGTAATTGAATTATTAAGTTGACAAATAATAAAAATCTGATATAATCCTTGGTTTTAAACTGTTAGGCAGGTGAAGATACTTTAATTTGCTTTTAGTTTTCATATAACACATCGCAATTTGAATTTTAACTTTTTAAAACCCGTTATAAATTCAAACATAATTTTATTTATGCACGAAAATATCAGAGCGAAATTGGAGCTTATAATGTTTTTGTCGCTAGGGCTTAGACACTTGCGTGGGCTGTATCATTACGTATTCTCATAGAAAATACGAACTTATCTCGAAAAAGTCAAACACGCTCGAAGCCTGCATTGTATAATATTTACACACGTAAACATTGATCTAATAAATAAATTACGGCGTCTTTCCTAACCGCCGCCTGCCCCAATTTCGCGGCGCACAATAAAATCGTAGCCGAGGTCAATGACCGGCCAAAGAATGATTTTCTCGGCCGCGAATAGATAATCTTACGTGGGTATTTTGTTTTCTATGTTTACTCATTTTGATTACTCTATGTGGTCCATGATTATACTTAAATGACCCATTGTAAACTAGAATGTTGATGTTACTGTTGTTATCGTTGGCGCTACCGTTTAAATTACATAATTATGTGTGTATTTATATGTCTTAATACGTTTTATGTATTTATTTGTTTGAGTACTCATTATATTACATGTAAATAATTAACGTAATAATTTGCAACTACCACTACTCTTTTTCACGCCTTGGGTTGACTGGGAGAAAATGCCAAAAGGCATAAGTTCTCCCTTGTAATCCTTGTTTATGGTAATTGCATTAAAGAGTAAATAAGTAAAAATTTTTGAAGAGAAAAACTTCTTTGGCGCGTTGGGAAAATTTGAATGGGGAAAAGTTCGAAGATTCGCGTCATCAACATACAAATTCAAGCGTTTTGTCATTGACGTCGGTGACGTTATAATATTGATATCATTTCGTTTTCCAATATTTAATCTGTGTAATTTTTCAAGGGAAATTTTTAGTTATTTTTATTTTGTTACGCTAAAATAGTACTTCTTACGAGTGTACATAAATACAAATATACTTTTTTTAACATTAAACTGCTTCTTGTATTAACTGATGTTTGTGCTTTCAGTCTCGAGACTATTAAAGCTTCATCTGACGCAGAACCGGTGGGCTAACCAGTACCCACGGGTTTGGGCTTAAAATGCTCGCACTCAAGATGAACAACGCACTATTTTACGACCTCCGTTTTATAACCGGTCTACGAATAGATCGCAGTGCAACGGATCTATAAATATTTTTTTTTATCGTAGACGTCGTAATAATTGAAATGGAATCATTAACTTCTGATGCAGTTTTGCGACCGAATGTGACCCCATAAAGAGTTCACAGCCTGCGCTTAGTCGACCGGAACCCCACACATGTCCGAAATAAGTTAGGGTGACCATCATTTTACTGCCCTAATAAAGTCCTTGTAGTGGCAAAGATACTTTTCTGTATTAATATAACGTTAAAATTGCTAGCATAGGAGACGTGGTTCACTTAATGTTTTCGTATTTGAATTCTGTTCTACTTCTGTAAATTTAATCCCAGGTCTAATGATATATATGCTATTATAAAATTTCCCCGCAGTGAATGAAATACTAGTGGAGTTTAGACAACTTTAAGTTCTCATTGTACTCATGTACGTATTTAAATAAACAGTACCTGGAGGACCAAGCTTTGCTCGGTTTGTTTTTTTTTGTTAAATCGTGTATTTTTGAAAATTACATTTAGATACAAATTACTGAGTAATGAAATATGCATAATAATTTTCGACGTAATACTAACAAAATATGAACGGGTATTTTTCACAAAAGAAAGAACTTTAAAAAAAAAGGGAAAAAATTACAAAATCATCTGGATCGGCAAAAATAAAAAATAAAGAAAGCAAATATCTGGAATCGAAAAAAGTAAAAAAAGTAAGTGTGTATAAAATCGTGATACGAACCACGGCCTCCTGTTTCGTGACTGTTAGCGGCCGCCCGATTACCGACCGAGCTATTATAAAATTTTTTTTTCGTAATTTACCGTCGTATTCGAATGATATTTTTCATTTCCTGAAAACTGGGATAAAACGACATTTTCTGAAAATGAAACCTAGTCAGATCGATTTTTCGTCCCCGAATTACTACGCACATACTAAATTTCATGAAAATCGCTGGAGCCGTTTCCAATTATATATATACAAGAATTGCTCGTTCAAAGGATAAGAGATATTACGTTGAATTTAAACTTTTGTGGAAACAGAAATTTCTATCGTAGATAAATTATGACGAAATGCGGAGAAATTCAGACAAATGCGGTTAAATCCTATTTTAAATGTTGAATGTGGACACACAGCCCGTATGTTTTCATTTAACACCGCCCGTCACGGTTGGGGAGTACAAAAGGTGTGGCCATTGCGTCACACGAACAATTATTCTCCGTAGAAAATAGATATCATTGTTTCGAAGCGTGAACGATTTATAGTAAGCGTCGTGAAATTATGGATCTCTGGTGTGGGTCTATTGAAGTGTAAATTATACACACATATGAACGTTTTGAGTGTCCGACCGCTCGCATCAAATGCCGTATAGGCGAGTAATCCAATTTCAAATCGCGGTTAGGACACCAATGAAACTGTAAATTGCAATTTTAAATGGTTATTTACTTGTTCTCGGTGCTGATCAAGTCCCTAAATCTTAGGAACAATAAAAAATGGAATTAATGCACAGTTAAAGAAAAACTTAAGAAGCTGGAAAGACGGTTCTCCTGATTTTAAGGGACTACCGCAGCCCTCTTCCTCAGCCCGCAGCTACCTCACTTAGCAAACGAAACCCGAAAGTATAAAACTTTCACTTCACGCCGGTCTTCCGTGAGGCCGTGGTACTGCCCCGGACGAGCTTGCACATTCATGCAGATGTATTTCCGCCTTTTAGTAAACTGGGATCTGGTTACCTTACTCACCACACGAATCGCAGAAGAATGACACTTCCTCTTTGCCCTGATCTTCTGTGGGGCCTTGGTACTCTCTCGGACAGACCTGCCCGCTGGTATAAAGGCGAAGACTGTTTCGTGTCCTTACAACCATTATTGGTAAACTCTATAATACATTCACTTACTTTCGACCTGATCCATCGTTTGTAATAATACGATATAGGGCGTGCTTGTTTACGCAGCCTTGTCGAACTAAGCTCGGACGTATCGAGTGGATAGCTCGGAACACAAAGCTTAGGCACACGTCCATATCACAATGGTATAAGGTCCAAAATGATCAGTCTGCAATCCGGTACGTGGTCGAGGTGCTTCGCTCTTGAAACTTTGTAGTGCTTTATTATTAGAAATCGTACGTAAGGGTCGAGGGCTGTCGGACATTCTCTACAAACAAATATTGTACATCCGATTGTGAGTACATATTCCGAACTAAATTAGTTATAATCGGTAGTGAAATTTCGATTCTATTAGACGAAAACAGTAACAATCATAAGCAACAAGCTGTAGCTAATCTACCTAATGCTAAGTTTACGGCTTTACACGCAGCAACTTCTGTTTTACGAATGTTTATGCACATCCTGGGAAGTACCACAATTACAAACTACGTGGCGCTATATTTACATCTGTTTAATTCTAACTCGCGCCAAATTTGGCTTAGATTGTGGCGAGTCAAATCTTCTTTTGCGGACAGTAATGCGGTTCAAAGCGTGTCGTCTAAAATGATTTAAGTAATAATATAATTCCGCTATTTGTCGCATTCGCTTTTGTGTTCTTTAATGAAATAAAAAACGTTGTTGGGTAAATACCTCATATTTAAAGTGCTCAAAACAGGCTTTTATGATTGTTTTTTCAATGTCTATGCACCACTTAGCAACTGCCGGAGTTGTCCCATACACATTATATTGAAACTTTCTTCTTTAGTTCTGTAATAGCCGACATTATCGAGTCTATAATTTCGGCTGTTACAGAACTAAAGATGACTTTTTCAATGTGTTCTTTGACTCTACATTTGTATCGACTCTACATCCTCCACAACGGTCATTTTAATTCTATGACATTCAACAATCTCTATTGCTAAACGTTTGTTCTCTCAACAAAAATCTCTCTAATGCTGAATAACTACCATCTCAAACACCTTATCACTAACTTTACGTTCTCAGTGACTTACCTTTAGATGGACTTCGTTGTCATTGACTCTACAGTCTCAATTTACGTCAAAATTGACTCTATATTACAGTGATTCTACAAGAATATCTACAGCTCTCCCATCTCAACTCGAGGCGATATCATCGCGCGGTCGTCTTGCGTTATCCAGGTCACTTCCTTGCCTTTATCGCTGGTTTGCTCGCTCCACGACATTATCTGAACACAATTAAGTTGCATTAGACGTGACGCAACTGAGTCGGAGACGATATAGTTGGGAGAGTGTAAACATCTTCGGACGTGCGACGTGTGGTGTATGTATAATCACGGTGGTAGGGCCACGCAGCAGCCTCGGCTGTTGCTCAAATGGGCAGGCTCGTCCGGGTAAGTACCACGATCTCACGGAAAGAAAAAAATGTAGTTAGATCTGTGTAGAATAAGGAGCGATACGTTTCAGTACAAGCCCTCGCAGAAATTGCGCGAAAAGGAACTGTTGATATGAACGTTTGCACTTTTTCTACTGTATTTCTTTATGTGAGAAGGTGGCAAACGAGCTGGCGGTTCACCCGATGCTAGTGATAACCACCGCATTGATACTTGCAACGTCGGAGGGTTGCAGATGCGTTTCCTTCATTTAATAAAGCGGGCAATAGATAACTAAACCTACCCACTTAGTGCTATAATATCCAAGGAAGGTTGTAATCGAATGGTAGGCGAACTGCTTGCTAGTTGGCCACCACCTCTTAAATAGAATAAATCCATTTCTTGTAATAATCCATCTTCGCTCGTTAGATGTCGTCCGATAAGAAAATTAAATGGTGTCCAACTGGCGGTTCAACTGTTGCTAAGTGATAACCGCCGCCATTTGCATTTGCAACACCCGTAGAGTTGCAGATGCGTTGCAGCTTATTACTAAATTGGGCCTCGGCTACCTCACACACCATACGAAACGCAGAAGTTTAACACATCACGCCGGTCTTCTGTTAGCTCACGGTACTTCCCCGGACGGACCTGCCCATTCTGTTGCATGGCCCTACTCAAACTGTCCCCTGCACTTCTTATTCGGAAATGCAGAAACCTTGGCGGCGAAAATCAGCAGTCACTTGTTATAGTACATTAACAACAAATAAAGACATTTTCTTTCTTCCTTTCTTCATTATCCGGTGTCAAAGGCAAGCCGCTTCGTTCAAAACGGCGTTACATTCGAAACATATTCGCCGATCGTCATTCGGACGGCCACCGCGTCCTGAAATAATTTCGTTTTATACACGCGTCACGGGCGCATGTGCTGTAACTTTACTCCGGTTGCGCAAGTCTGCGCGTGTTCGCGTTGTCACGTACGGTACGACAAAGTATATTATTGTGATAGAGTCGCGTTGTATCTGAATGTATTTCTGTATCATAGTTGTATCATGTATGAAGTACATATTCTTGCACTTTATTATTTCATCTCGTGAATGAATCATTGTAAAATCTGAAAGAATATGAAATTAAATGAAAGACGGTAATCATTTCAAGCCGGGTCGTTCTCCATTGAAAAGGAGTCAATTTTGCTCTTACATTAGTTTCTACGATGTTACATATTTATAAATAATGTCAGTGAAATTGTTAATAGAATGAAAGTGATTACTACACAACATTATTCAGACATACAGAAAACAGACAGAGACATATACACAGAGACAGTATCTACTCGTTTTCAACATACTTGTTTATTAAAACTAGCTGTAATGATATTTAGAAAACTAAGTGTACAAAACCGACATCACATCCATAATTAACCTGAATGCAATATGAAGTATTTTATGTAACTTATATTTATAATGAATGAGTCAGGTATAAATATTAGTCATCTTAACTACGTTGTGTTAATTTCTGGCTTGTAAGTCTTAATAGAAATCTTTTAACCCTGATAGCCCCTCAGATTGATATATTAATTCGATTGGCAGCGATTTTCCCCTAATATCGTGTGTCAATGGATACGCGGGCGCAAAAGATAAACTTCCAATGGAAATGGGTCATACGGAGCTCTTCCGACGTTGTGCCCAAATCATCTCGCGCGTTCCGTTCCACGTCTCTGCACGAATAAAACCGTTTCAAAGGTGATTCCAGCGACATCAAAGGTGCTCGCGAGATTCCAGAGGCGACTAAAAATAAACTCGAGTCGTTAAGACCTTGGCTGCTTTGAATGTCATTGTACTCTAGATGACGTTTATGATTAATCTGCTGAAGCCGATGAGAGGGTAGAGACCAATGGGCGATTCTAATATACTTCTATAATACACACGTCTACAAATTACACGTTGTCTGCTGTGGTCGGGCCACGTGACAGTCTTCGCTGTTGCATGAATGGGCAGGTCCGTGCGGGAAATACCACGACGTCACAGAAGACCAGCGTGAAATGGAAGTGTTACACTTCTGCGTTTCGTCTGGCGAATAACGTAACCGGAGCTCGCTTTGTTAAAAGATGGCAACGCATCTTCAACCCCACGGATGTTGCAAATGGTGGCTGTCACTTACCAGGAGAACTGCCTGCTCGCTTGCCATCTTATATCTTTAAAAAAGGTAATTATAGAACCGAAAAACAGTATCAAATTCGTTCACGCGGACTACTTTCGCTCTACACTGATAAAAAGCAAACTGTGCCTACCACAGTTCTTAACGCACAGCCACATAAAAAGTGCACATGGGAAGGCTATGCTCAGCAGTGGATTTGAACATGATGAAATGATGATGATGATGAACCAGCGAGCCTGTATGTGTGGTACACTCATACATGCGCAAGAAGCGAAAAAGCTGACAGTAGAGGGAGTCTGCATTTACGTTTTCTTAGAATCTCACTTTATGTTTAATTTTATTTATTCCGTTTCGACACCTCATGAATATCTGAATTGTGCAGTTGACATTCGGCCTCTGGTTTACGAGGTGGGGCTACCTGCATTGTCTACTTCATTACTCAAAAAGATTCACTTCCCGATATTAACTGGACAGTTTAAACGAACGAGTGTGATAAGAAAAAGGCATGCTTTGCGCGGTTGTTCGTCTTTAAAGACCGCGCGGCATCTCCAGTCGTAATAATGCAGTAGCCTTAAACAGACCTTTGGAATTTCAACGTGACATTACATTGTCCGTGAAACTCTTTATTCGTTAACAAGGAAGAGTTTCGAATCGATTGATGGGACCGGTTGAAAAAGCTGTTGGTTTATAGCATATTTTACTTCAAGGTCACCTCGGAAATCGTACAGCTTTTGGTGTAAATGCTAACAAAAGCTTGCCCTCAGCCGACGAGACGAATCGAACGGATAAGGCATTGGGTTTGTGAAACAAATAAATAAATATTTAGGGACACATTTTTACAACGTTATCTAGTCCCAAATTAAGCATAGCTTTTACTATGGATACTAGGTACCTAACAGATAAAAATACTTGAACTTACTTTTCGTATGTAAATAAATACATATTATAGATATATATACACCCAGACACTATAAAAATACTACGTTCATCACACAAAATTTTCCAGTAATGGGGATCAAACCAATACCCTCTGTACAGAGAAGGCCTTTTCCAAGCAGTGGGACATACAGAGGCTGTTATTTTTTTTTCTTATACAGGGTGTAAACAGAGACAAATTGCACTTAGTGTTTCGTATCGACTCTGTGGAATTTGAATCTGGGACAATGTGTCTGTAGGTCAGCCCGTTAACCGCTGAGCCGGCACCGATTTGCCGGCACGATTTGACTGTTGCGATGACTCCGTTCCGTGCCTGACGCAAACGGAGCCCGCGTCTGGCGCGTCGCCAATGCGTGCAGCGAAAGTATTTGCACGCGCGTTACCTCACTTTTTAATCGTGCGCGGTCGACTGTACGCGAAATCGCGAGGCTCGTAAATTAGCAAAAGCGTTTTGAACGCCAAACGATCGCTTCCGTTATTTCATGTTGGGAATTCAGTCTAAAATATTGGAGAACTGTTTCTGTTGATTTCAGCCAAGACCACAGGGAATAGTTGTGTTCTGATCTATTAAAAAAAGTAATCGAAACAGACTAAGGGAACAACCAAGATGTGGTTAAAAGCTAGAGTTGAGCATGTTTCATTAAACCGAAACGCGTTGGCTCAAACCTGATGTGAAACGGTATTAGACACATGAGTTAACCGACTAAAATTAATAATTTTCGCGCCAACGGAATCTCGCGGTAAATAGTGACATGAGGACTTCAAACAATCAATGTTATTCGAAACGTCATGAGTTTAAAATGAAAATAACCACTACGTGAATTGCGTTATGTTAAAATGTTATATTACACCGAGGAAAATCGGAGTAGTTTCAAAAATAACGGGAAACGCATCACTAGTTCTTTCAACACGCGTATTAATTTAAAAAAGTTGACAAACGAGGGAAATATCTCTGAATACGCACGGAGAAATACCTTACCCAGATGACTCATGATATCGGCTTTGGCGCCGGGGTCCGTAAGTTCGATTCCCACACGAAACGATTATATACGTGACCCACAGGTGTTACGGATCTGGGTGTTCGTCCACGTGAATTTTATGTATATGTAAAAAAGTCCTTACAGCGCAGGATAATGTAAGCCTACAGTAAGCGCGCAATGTTTTCGAACGGAAGGCTACAATAGATCTTTCTAGAGGTCGTTGGGACAAAATATACCTTACCTTAGTCACCTATGCAAATAAAAAGTATCAATATTTTTAATATCTTTAAGGTCGGGCCTTTCGTACAACACCGTCGCCCTGTCACGTCAAATCCTGATTTGTTTACGTATTTCCGTTAGCGTTCGTGTTTACGAGATAAAAACGGTATTCGTAACGCGAAGGTTATTCGTCAGAGATGATGTTTATCAATATTGCGCGACGTGTAAACAACGTCTTCATCGCTGCATCTGTGTTAAGGTCCCGCCGAATCGCATTCCTCAGCCGTTGAAAAGAAGCGAACACATAGACATAACTCGATGACTCCGTGGCGCAGTTGCCAAGGTATTGGCTTCGGCGTCGGGGGTCGTGGGTTCGATTCCCACAAGGGACAACTGTTTGTGTGCCCCACAGATACTTGTTCCGCATCTGTCTAATGTGTTTGTAAAAACGTCCTTGATACACAGGATAATGTTATCCCAAAGTAAGAGCAATGTTTTTTAAAAAAGAAAAAAAAATAACTTAACATAACTTCCAACGGATTATTAAATAATTCATCATCGTCCTCCTGCCCTTATCCCACCTAGGTAGGGTCGGCACATGTGAATTATCTTGTAATCGGTTTTGGCTATGTTTTTTAAGACCTGCCTGTCGTCAACCCTACTTGGTAAACAAATACCCAGATTCGGAACAATTATCTGCGATTCACGCAAATACTTGTTCCGTGTGCGAATCGAACCCACGACCCCCGACGAAGCCAATGGCTTATCAACGGCGCCACCGAGATATGAAATAGTTATTTAAAAGTAATTTCTCGAAGACTGTACGACGACAAGACTAGTTTCGGCGCTATGGAAGCGATACAGAGTAGATTACGATACCAGAGGACCGTTAATCTGCCACGCAGCTGATTCTGCTGTTGCACGAATGGGCAGGCTCGTCCGGGGAAGTACCAGGGCCTTATAAATCTCATAATACCGACCTTTTTTTAACAAACGAGCTGGCTCTTCACCTGACATATTTTCGAAATAATAGCAATAAAAAAACAAAAGATATGTGAAGTCTTCCGATCCGCGCGTGGGTCGCGGACTACGCTCCATTAACCTCCGTACAGAGTAGGTCTTTGTCCCGCAGTGGAATACATTTAAGCTGTTGATTCAATGTACAGTTTACTCATTTTAATTTAATAAAATTTTATAGGTGCCTCTGGTTGTTCACTACACTGTACTCCGCCGGTGGCCTTGTGTACAACGTGGAATGTATTTCTTACCCCACGCCACCGCGCACTTGTGTCAATATCAATCGGGAATATTTTCACTTGAACGCTCCGATACGCGCCGCATAAATTGTGAGATTTGCTGCGGTCATGTTATTCGACTTCGAACACACGTCCGCTATAGCACATCACGTAAGTGTTTAGGTTAATAATAATGAGACGCTTTAGTCTCACCATCATCTTTACAGCCTGTTCGAGTCGGTTGCTGAACATAGGCCTCCCCGAAATAAAATCAAATTACACAAGACATGATTAAGATTTTTTTTATGCGAAAAGTTGTCAAACGAGCAGACGGTTCACCTGATGTTAAGTGAATACCGCCGCCCATGGACATCCGCCACACCCGAGGGTTACAGATGCGTTGACAACCTTTTGGAAATTGCGCAAGTAAGAAACGCGAAAGTATTTATCATACTTCCACTTTACGCTGGTCTTCTGTGAGGTCGTGGTACTTACCCGGACGGGCCTGCCCATGCGTGCTACAGCCGAGGCTGCTGCGTGGCTCTACCACCGTAAAAAAATCTGAATCTTCAAATCGTTCCCATAGGTAACCGTATAGGTACCTCACAATATATAATAGTCTCGTACCTAACGATATACAATAGGCTGTCTTCACAAGCCGGCTTCCGAAAGTATCGAGCCCCGATTCATAATCTTTCGCAACGTGCGCGATCCTTTTACGTATATCTCGGTGAGCATATCGCGTGTTCGCGTCGTGTAAGGAAAAGCCCGCCTCTGTATACGGCTGGCCGATTATAATTTATAAAAAACGACGAGACCGCTTTTATCTGGCCCACATCCGTACAGACCTAGTGTTGGCTGGTCCGGACTAAATATGGGCAGCGCTCTAAGAGATCCTACTCTCACCTTGACAGACGACTTTAGAGATGTGCCGATGCAATTAATTGCCAATTATCGATAAATTTTATAAATTCTTCATGTGGAAAGTTGGTGGGCGAGCAGTGGGTTCGCCTGATGTTAACGAAAACCGCTGACGGGTATGTCAACCTGACGCATCTGCACACCTGACAGGTTGCAGATACGTTTCCAACCATTCAAATTCGATCTTCATTCAACATAGGGCATTCCACTCACTTATTGTTAGTCGAAATATTATCACCGCTGGTCCGGAAAAGAAAGCCATTGTACTTAGAAGAACTAAAATGTAGACGTTAGATAGAAAGACGTTTTGCTTTTTTCTTCCGTTTTTTTCATTGTCAAATTTTAGATATTTAATGTAATACCAGCAATTTTTTAAAATCGATATTTAAAAGATATTTGACGGATCAGTTTACGCAATGATTTTAGATGTCATTTCCTCTGCTAACATGGCGTCCATTATTTTGGAGTCAATAAAAGGGACGATAATATGCATGTCCCATAAACGGTTCATGCTAAACTGTGTGTAGACAGTTGTCTTACTTTTGTTCGATGCTGATATTTAAGAATGTAAACTCCTATCTAGTATTATACTAAGCTTTGATTCGATGGGTATCGAATTCTATAAAAGGTTTAAAAGTAAAAAAACAATATGTGTGTATTTATGTAGGCACGTAAGAAGTAACTTAATATAACGGTTTACATAATTTGGCATTATTGGTAAATGTAAAAAAAGTTGTTATTGGTTGCCATGGTAACGTGAACTTGATGACTGAAGTTCCTTACTTCGCAATTATCTGCATCATATCTCTTGTTGAGGGTCGGAATGTAAATATTTAACTGTCATACTTTTTCCAATCGCGCCAAAAGAAGTATATAACTTCAAAAAATAATAGCCTCTGTGATTTACAATATTTCACGTGTCTGGATAAGACGTGTGTTATTTTAACGTTGTCTTAAATAGAATCGCGGCATGTTTTATGACATGACAAACTTTACAAGTGACAGGTAATCTCCGTTTATACATTTCTTGGAATACGTCCAGTGGAAGCGATTTCATTGTTTTTTTTTTTTTTAAATAAAACTTCCGAAAATAGATTTACCATAATAGTTCTAGTAACGACTTTTGGAAATCATTTTACGATTTCACTGAAACCTGAGGCATTTGTGGCGAGTACTAAAATACAATGTTTTTGGTATTAATACGAGTCCAAATACATTAATTTGTTGATTACTTGGTATAATCTAAAAGATAGCTGAGTGGTCACCATACTAGCTGATATGGCAGGTCGTGTTGTGATTTCTATCCCTAAATGGAATAAAATTAATTTATATTGGTCTATAAACAAATTATGTGGGTCTGGCTGCACTTCGAGTTTGTTTTTTGTTTTGTATTGTGAAAAAACTTGCCTTACAGGAGTTATTTCACAGGATATCAAAAAACAAATAGATATATATAATAAATTGCTCATAATAATTTAATAAAAATTATAGAATTCTATTATTTATTAATCTTTCTTCACTTTCCATATTTATTATTAATATATTATTTTAATGAACCTCTAGATGTTATGTATTTTTCGGGAATACGAATTTTTATGTAGCCCTAATGTTCTAACCATATAATTGTCATAGAAGCGTTATAAATAAATAAAACATTTCTAACACTAGGATCTTGGATACAAGGGACGCGATCAAACTTGTGACATCGAACCAAATCGATTAGCCACTACCGATATCGATACTACACCGACCAAACTGTAAGCAGACTCGATTATAAAACTTATATCGATAAAACCTCCACGTACATCGCCCTGCACTAAGCCATCACGCCACGAAAGAGACAATCCAGTAGCCGCGTTCAAGACATGTAGGGGCCGTCTGGTATGTTTATTTGTTAATTGCCAATCGAAAGCCCCCCATACTCCACATGACGTGACCATGTCGAGGAATCAATTTCTCCGCACTCCTCTTATAAGGATAATCTTCGCTTCCACTGTCGCTTCGAGCGTGAAGTTATTTATTGGAGTTAAACATTGTAGAGATTATACACGAGATTTATTAAGAAATAGAGAGAGGTAACTTTCGAAGATCACTTTAAACTATAGTTAAGTTAGCCGAGTTAAGGTTGATTGGCTTTTACAGTGACACTTTGAATGCTTTGAGTGAAATATAAGTTTTACTTGTGCAAGAATCAGAACATAAAGCCTAAGTAATTCTAGCTTAATACTCGTAGCCTTTAATTCAATATAAAACTTTCGTCTTCTCAAATCTCGACTTTTCAACTCGTCCAAAACAATTTATATTAATCTAATCCTATATTTGGAACCTGCTGACTTCAGATAACTTAATAGAAGTACGTTGATGTCAAAGACAAAGTTTATGCTACATTTCTTAACCTTGAACAAAATTAGATTCCACATATTTTATAATGTTACATGTAGTGTACTGTCATTCTTCGTCTGGTAAGTGAGAGGGTCCCACTTGATTAACTGGCAACGTATTTGCAACCCTACGGATGTTGAACATATCCACGGGCAACCTTTATCATTTAACATCAGGTGAACCGCCTGCCCGTTTGTCACCTGCTCACATAGCAAATATATGTTCCACTGCCGGGCAAAGGCCTCATCTTTACAATGAGGATTAAGGCATAGACCACCGCGCGACCCCACTGCAGATTGGCAGACTTCGGGTATCTTCACAATATTTCTTTTGTTCTTAACGAAAACGTGCTGGTTACCTCTCGATGATTTCCTCAACCGCTGGACGCTTGGTAAAGGCCTTTAGGTTTCGAACTGCATCGCGTTTCAGCTCGCGCAAGGCGCTGCGTTGGCGCTGGCGAAGGCAGACACCGCCTCTGACATTCGCCAGCGCTCCAAGAACAAAGAGCCTCCACATCAGAGGGGCCACATAAAACGCACCGATACGGAGCCCTTTAATGCCCCGCGCGGTGTCAGGTTTCAGCACGTGCTGCGAACAAGGTTGCCACATTGGTGATAATCTGGTCCAAATCCAATTGAAAGTATAATAAGAGCAGAATAGCAGAAGAACCTCAGCTCCTGCTATGTTCTCCTGCTGTTCTGCTCTTATTCTTCTACACTTATGAATGGAGTTATTTTTCTATTCTGCAGTTCAACTTTTGACTTTGGTGATTTGTATGTAGCTCGATTTTCAGCGAAGTCTGAAATAATGATGATGCTTCCCTGAAACCCGTTTTGATAGTTTCATCCCATTTAATAAAAACAGTTCCATACATTAAATATCTTTTAAATGCTTTAGAAAACTAAAAAACATTATTCTTTCTTTCTTCTTTTTCCTCGCCTTAATCCAACTTTGAGGGGTCGTCAGAACATGTGGTATTGTCTAGGTGTTCTTACGGTTTGACATCAACCCTCCTTGGGAATACCCATATCCGGAACAATTATCTGTGGATCGCACTCATACTTGTCCCGTGTGAGAGTAGAACTCACAACCCCAGCGCTGAACCCAATGGATTAGCAATTGCACTATCGAGTCATCATGATTCGTTAAATAGAAAAATGTACGTAATTGCGTATACTGAACAGTTTACTATACTTTCACGTATTTCATCATTCACTTCTTATTGTATGGTTCTAAAATATATTGCAGACATGATAAACGAAATAAGCACCAGTATAGTATATATTTTAGTATATATTTATAATATAAACGTTAACTTCTGTGAAGTGACAACCCTACGGCACACTGCATCGGGCAGATGTGGCCAAGTCTTTGATTCCTTTTTCATTGAGCCTTGAGTACTCTTACGGAATGCCGGGCGTGAATCGACAATCCTATTGATGTTATTAGAGTTGGACGCAGCTAGCTGCATCGTCTTATGGCTTAAGGTGGAAGATCAATTATTACTGTCCACTATTATCTTAAATGTAAGATGACAAGCGAGCTGACGGTTGTAAGTGGTAACCTACGTCCACGGGTTGCAGATGCGCTGCCACCTTTAAATAAAGTGGGTACCGGCTACCTCACTCACCAGACGAAACGCAGAAGTGAAACACTTCTACTTTATGCCGGTCTTCTGTGAGATCGTGGTACTTCCCCGGACGGACCTGTCCGTACGTGCAACAGCGTACACTGTTACGTAGCCCTACCTACCACAGTAGGTTGTGTAAATTACAATTAAAATGAACCGACTTCAAAAAAGGAGGCAGTTTCACAAATCGTTTTAATTTCTTTTATGTTTGTTACCCGAAAACACCGTCATGTATTCGGTTATATATTTTTTTATTTTTGTAATCTATCTTTTTATTTCTTTCTATTTTTGTTACAGAACTCCCTCATTAATGAGACGATTGTATTTTTTTTTTTCATTGACCTTGTTCAAGTCCCATATTAATTACTCCCGTTACGTCTTTACTAATTTCAGTGGAATCCGGAGACACATAACGAAAATCCACATAGAAGCACGCCTATTCGAAGTCGTCCGTGTATTTCGTTAGGAGAAATGTTTCACTTGTGTCAGAGAAACTTGTAGCATCTCCAGCGAGCCAACTTTTTCATCACAGAATCGGCGACGGCCGTGACTCATGGTTCGCGCGGTGAACGTGAATGTAAGAATACAATAGCGCTACTCGTGACCGGGTGACGCTGTATCTCCTCGATATCTGTGCCGCTTATTTCTAGGTCATGTTTAAAACTGCACCGGGCACGTATCCACTGCTCTCCGTGGCTTTGGCGATCCGTTAGTAACATGTCAATCGCTTCGGGTACAGTCTTAGCTTGATTTTATTATCCAACATATAATTGTGCGAGTTTATTGTTGCGAATATCTAAGAATACGGATCAGTTATGATCAGTTGAATCACCAGATCGTTTTTTATCTCCTCCATGAAAAAAAACTAACACCCTCATAATGTCTGTCGCCGAGATAGACAGGACGATAGGCACATTTATAATTGTTGGCGCTGGATACCGGATACCGCGCTGAACACTGTATACTGGATATGACATCTACTCGAGCCAAGGGACACATGGTCGCATGGATTTCAGCTGCGTTCCCGGACGGTGATAAAACCACTAGTGCTGCTTGTCGTTATAATAGTTGTTAATATTGAAGTTCAGTAATAGTTAAAATATTAGGATCAAGGTAAAAACGTTAGAACTCTTATATAATAGGTAGGCCCACATACCATCAGACTACATAGTACAACGCATGCGTAGAGATTTCCACTTTTCACGATATTTGCACATCTCTTCAACCACATACATGTCCGTTGATTACAAACTTCTAAATAAAGTGAGGCATATCGCATTCTGATCGATATAGGTTTCTCTTTCAAGCAAAATTCCTTCGACCTTTCTTCTTTCATTCTTTTCAAGAATCCAAATGTTGTTTTTTCAACTTTCCTTACTACTACTGAAATAATAATGTCTTATCATTAATTATGTTTTCTAGAATTGCTCTAATCAGTGTTAAAAGTCAAACTGTTGTGTCAACCAAAACACTGCCCTGTTTCCAATTCCTTTAATGCACTTTAACTTGATGAAAGTCAGGTTATGATGTAAACATTTATAAGCAAATTATATTAGATGGAAGCACATCGTTTATAAGTTTTTACGAGAATGAAAATACCGATAGTTAACTGAAAAGATAAATTTAATGATATAAATATTACATGGACAGCTGTACCATCGTTCGTAACGAGGGCAACATTTAGCCGGATTGAATATAGAGCGGTTGCAAAGTTATTCAATCCGAAACAAAGTATTCGAGCTCCACAAACCCTTATACGTGTATGTACTTCTCTTGTCAGTTAAATGCTAAGCATCATACTTGTACCTTTACTTGATATACGACCCTTCCCCTTCTCTTAGACAAGTAGGAAATTGCATTGTTCGCCTTCGTATAAAGCTCTGGGTATATTTACTTTCCACCTAAAATAGGTATTATACCCAAGATGAAGTAAGACAATGATACCAGAAACCAGTAGGTTGTAGTTGATTTGCGATCAGAAGCCATTTGCATAGAAGTCGTTGCCAATCGTGACTATTAATGGGTTCTTTCTATCAAAACACCTTAACGTTGCATGCGGGACGCTTGAGTTGTTAAAAATCGTCACGTAAGCAAAAATTGTTAAGCCCCCAGCCAACGGTTCTCCCTGTTTTCATAAATTTTCTCCGAACATGAGCTGAATATTCGTTTTTCAGGTTATTCATTATTCGTGGTCTGTTTGTAATGTCCACATGGAACATATACTGAACCCAATGATAAAATAAGCTTTGAACGTTGGTTCAAAAATGGCAGAGTATTTAGGTAACAAAACAAACATAAAACCGAATTGTGAACCTCCTTTTTTAAGTCGGTTGAAAATTAAGCCTAGTATCGAACGCAGTGTCATAATCTAACTGATAACATTTCCAAAGACCGCGCTGCGCAGAAGCGAATCGGCAAACAAAGCCTCATTGAGACAACCACAGACAATATAACAGAAAACGTAACCGAATCTATTTCCACAGACAAGAGCGACGTCCGCATTGGCCCGCACCCAACATTCTATCCAGTGTACCGCCGGAAGGCGATATAATTAGACGCAGACTTTGATGTCATTCGATTACTCGGAAAACGTCGCTGGGGCGGATCGAGAATTACATCTATTAAAGCGATAAAATCGGTTTCATGGTTTGTTTTACCAGCCTCCGTATATTTCTAGTAGCCAATAAAGATTTAAGCAATCGATTCAATAGTTTCATATCCAATTATCACACATTGTCATACATCTACTCGTCTCAACGGTTGTTTTATTACTCGTACAGACAATTTTCAAACGAAATGAGATTTCTCTTACCTTGTTGTAACGGCTGCAAAAACGTACGCATCATTTCTCTTCTTAACAACTCCTTATGTTTTAACTCTATAAGACTACTTACTGTACGAAAAACATCTCAATATTCTTCTCCAATATCTCCATGCTTCTTAGTATGTTACTGCAAGATTCATCTTGCTTATAAAAGCTTTTGCTTCGCCATGTGTTACTCACACCTCATTTGTAAATGAAAAAATGTTTTTAGAGATCCCAATCGGTGAAGAGAATTGCGAAAAGGTATCGCGCCGTTTTTAACACCCACGGATACACGTTTTCTAATAGCTCCTTCGTGATTCAGGAGTTGTGAAATCACCGTCTAATGCTCACAAATTAGCACGTGTGACTTGCGTCACTTTCACCGCTTAAACGATGACTACATTTGTTGACTTTATGTGTCACCCTCCACGATGAAACATAGGCTGATTGTGAGGATTTATAAACTGACACGAAGAAGCACGCACACGTATATATTTAAAATACGTAGGATAATGAAGAGTGCTAGCTATGTAGTGTTATTCGAAAAGGAAATTTAACAGATATTAATGTTTGTATAATTTATTGATCTCTTTGTAAGAAGACGGTGGTAGAGCCACGCAGCAGCCTCGGCTGTTGCACGAATGGGCAGGCTCGTCCGGGTATATACCATGACCTCACAGAAGACCGGCGTAAAGTGGAAGTATGATAAATACTTTCGCGTTTCGTCTGGTGTGTGAGGTAGCCAGAGGCCAATTTCCAAAAAGATTGTCAACGCATCTGCAAACCCTCAGGTGTAGCAGATGTCCATGGGCGGCGGTATTCACTTAACATCAGGTGAACCGTCTGCTTGTTTGGCAACTTTTCACATAAAAAAATGAAAAAAAAACCAATTGAATTACAGTATCTTATTGTGTGGATCATTCAAAGTCGAAATTTATTTCATTCCTTATTAAATTTTGACCTGTGTAAGCTCTTACTAGAGTCTAAACTCCTAACGGATAGGGTTGTTTTTGTTAAGAAATACTCTCATTATGTTTTTAAGAGATATGAGATCTGAATAATTTTAAGACTTTAGACTTGATAAAATAATTACAAAAGATGTTAAAGGTACAAACTATAACTTGGCGGAAAACAAATGCGAGGACTAAGTATTCTGATGTTGAAAAAAAAATA